TGGCAAGGGGGGAGAAACGGGGGTGGAAAGGAGGACCAGCCATGGAAGAGGCAGGAGCACTGGGCTTCGCTGCCTAGATCAGCTGTGCTGCATCCTGGATCAGTTGCCAGCCCCCCGTGCCTGGTTGCCCACTCCTGGCCACTTGTTTGTTTGCCTGCCTACTCACCCCACTTATCTGCTTGCTCATTCCCCCTTTGCTCGCTTACCAAATTGCCTGCTCACTCACTCTCCTGCCTCCTTGCTCGCCCACTCCTTTGCTTGCTTGTCTGCCCAGCCCCGCCCACTCACCCTCATCCCTTGCCCCCTCTTTCCTTTTCCACCCTTTTCTCTCCCATCCTCCAGCCTCTCCTAGAAGGTGTTCTCCCTGCTGCTCCCTTCTCCCAGGTCCCGGCTGAGTGGAGCCACCTGATTGGAGACAGTGGTGGAGGTGGTTGTGGTGAGGACGCACATACCAAGCGATTCAGGCTAAAGTCCATGTGACTTTAGTCCAAACCAAAGACTGCAATCCCTCTCCCAGTTTATTCCAGCAGTGAGACCAGCCCCTGAGGTTGGTATCTGCAGATTTGGAAGGTGGTTGGGAGTTCATTAACCCATGGTGCATCTCACAAGAGCCAGCTTGTGTGGTCTTGGGCAAGCTGCATAGTCCAAGGGTGACCCCCAAAGAATGGAATGGTAAAGCACTTCTGAGTACTCACTACCTTGAAAACCCTGGAAAGGATTGCCATAAGTCAAATTTGACGATGGCTCACAGAGAGAGAGATGAAAACTGTGAACGTTGGCTTTATTAGCATCACACCAAACTTAGTATCCTCAAATATTCTACCCCTTGAGAAAGCTGTCAGTGACTTGAGGTCCATTGGACATCATAGCTGAGGGCTATCAAATCACAAGATGATGACAGGTAGGAGGCAACATTTGACTTTTGGAACTGTTATATAGTGATGCCTTTTCTTTCTTTGGAAATTGCCTAATTTCTCTTCACCATGATGTTATCACTGTAGCAGGCCATATTACACTGCAGCTTTTTGCCAGCCTCAGTCCAGACATGAAATCTAGAAGCATCTTGGACCAGTCTCCCCATTGCTGGCAGAATTTGCTGATATACTGGTTCATGTTCTAAAAATGTGTGACCATCTAAATGTTGTTCATTTGTAGTTTCCATTCTCCTTCATGATGGCTCTGCTGCCCAAGACAGATTTAAAGTACAACATCTGAATGACCACACATGAAGGGGAAGAATTTGTTTTAATATTGTACTTCACCACCACAACCCCTGCACACCTTTTGATTTACAGTGGTGCCTTGCTTAACGAGTGCACCGTATAGCGATGTTTCCGTATAGCGATCCCTTTTTTGGGATCGCTATACGGAAACATACCCGATCTTCGCAATGGGGAAAACCCGCATTGCGAAGATCGGGTATTGCGGCGGCCATTTTGGACTGAACGGGTAAGTAACAAAGGTATTGGAACGCATTAAACGAAGTTTAATGTGTTTCAATACGTTTCCCCTACCCGCTTAGCGATGATTCCGTATAGCGAGGGTTAATCCAGAACGGATTAACCTCACTATACGGGGCACCACTGTATTTTCAAGCCATCTCCTGCTACATTTTCTTAATTTGCTACTTGATTCGTTCCCTTGTCTTCCCCACTGCCATCTTCTTTCATTGCTCCCTCCCTCCTGCCTGGGCTGCAGTGCTGAAATCCACCTGTAAGTGAGCCCACAATTTATTTTTTTCTCTTTTTTTTCCTTTAAAGCAGCTGAGCTACTGAATAGAGTGGTGCAAGTGCCACAGAACTGAAGTACTGGCAAAATGTCCTCAAACATAGCTTCCAACTTAGTCCCCTGTTTCATCTGTTGATGGATAAATATTGTGGTTTCATAAAAGAGGCAGAAATCCATATTCAAATTATTGTCTGCAAGACAAAAACAAGCTCTAGTGCCCCTATTAAATAGGTATTTCTTTGGAAACTTCTGGCACTGTATTTTAGGTTCCAGGGGGGCACATTCTAGTATTCTTTCTGCTTTCTTCTTCTGCTTTGTAAACCCTGCCACCATGTGATATACACAGAATAGAGAAGCAGTGGAACCAGGCGAATCTCCTTGCCATGTGAAATGTAATTGCTGCTTTCCCCTACCTGCCCCCCCCCCCCGTGTAGGAACATTTTGCAATCGGAGGGCATCACATGTTGGTGCAGTTCTTCATTGTTGTCACGATAAGCAGCTTTTATATCATCCATCCTGAACTACTAATATTTATCATTATATTTTGCCATACTGATGCAAAATAAAGCTCAGAGTTCTCTTTGTGTACAGCAGACATGAATCGGCTGTGGGTGGGCAGTTTTCCAGACTGGTTGTCCTTGGCTAATTATGAAAATACTAGTTTTGTAATAGAATCGTACATGTTAAAAACTCAAGTTTCAAAACCATTGTTATTTTTAGCTGCTATTTTGGACATTGATTTAGCTGTGTTCTTTTGTTTCTGAAAACGGGTACAGCATATGGCACAACATAAGAACCTTCACAGCCCTCCACCCTCTTCAACTGCAGAGTGCTTGCAGTATACAGGCGGTACAGCACACAAAGTGTATTAGCTTCATGCCTTAGGATGTAGAAACAGAATAATATTTTGATCATAGGAAGCATGCAACAACTCATTTATTTTTCACACATATGCCATCCTATGTCTGTATACTTTCCATAAACTTTACATTTTCAGTTGCATGAGAATGAGAGCTATGCAATAGTTTTGCTGGTCTTCACTATCACCTGTTGCTGGAGGTCAGTATCTTCCCCCTCAAAAAAAAAGTTTGAAACATGAAATCTCTCCCCACACTCCTAGAATGATGTTGGTTCCCACATAATGGGAGGAACTTATTTCACCAGTTTAATCTAAGTATAAAAATAGATATGGGGGTATTCATATGAATATGAATATCCCTGCGTAGCTGGACTTAACGAGGGTCCACCCCCGGGGCCAGATTGTCCACTCACACATCCTGCTACTGGGGTGGCCTCCTTCCAATCGCACCTGGAGCGCCACTCTCTTCCGGCTCAGGTACCACTCCAGGCAGGGGGAGGGAGGACGTGTTTTCCTGCATGGCTGCTGAGTGGCCAGCCGAGCACAAAGTAAGCTTTGCTCTGGACATGATTGGAAGGATGAGGGGGGCCACCGCCACAGCAGGACACATGAGTGGACAGTCTGGCCTTGGGGGCTGGAGCCTTGTTAAGTCCAGCTGCAGGAGATATTTGTATTCAGCTACGAATACCCTCATCTCTAATGAAAAATAATCTATTATAGTTACGGCCTGGGATCCAAATATACGTTTTAAAGGGTTTGGCATATCCCCGTGAAAAGACCCATTTTAGGGATTGATTCTGTAGTTCTTTGCTCCAGGGATAGGTGCACATGACTGAAGCCGGGAGCACCCTCATTAGTCAAAAGGCAAAAGGAAAAGATTCCCCTTGACAATTGGTCCAGTCATGTCCAACTCTAGGGGGCGGTGTTCATCCCCATTTCCAAGCCATAGAGCCAGCGTTTGTCCGAAGACAATCTTCCGTGGTCACATGGCCAGTGCTACTTAGACACGGAACGCCGTTACCTTCCCACCGAGGTGGTCCCTATTAATCAACTTGCATTTTTACATGCTTTCGAACTGCTAGGTTGGCGGGAGCTGGGACAAGTGACGGGAGCTACTCTGTTGTGTGGATTGGATCTTACGATGGCTGGTTTTCTGACCTTGCAGCACAGAGGCTTCTGCGGTTTAAATCGCAGCGCCACCCCTGTCCCTTGCAATAGTCAACAAGATGCACCTAAATCCATGCCTGTTTTCTGATAATATAGGAAATAAATACCCATGTATGTTTCTCTCTGTTTATTCAGATAGCATACAAAACTAGGGTTTCATTTCTACGGAAAGTGTTTTGAGTTCTCATTGACAAACCAGCAGGAAGCCCACTCCCATGCCTAATTACTCCAATGTGAATAGTTTATTTGGTGAGTCAGCTGCCTCTCTTCCTTGACAAGGTAGACTAAAAAATAATAGGACTTATCCCCTATAACCTGTAGGCATCCTTCAGTCTCAAGGGACTAGGCTAACATGCTCTGAATAGAAGACTTGGAACAGCGTCTAGTGTGGCTAGAAGGCCAATTCGAGAGTGACAATCCCTTCCACACTGAAGACCAATACAATCTGTCCCCTGTCCAGCTCCCTGATTTTGCTGGCTTCGCGACTGCCTCTTCGCCTCGGCTTGCTGGACAAGGGACTCTTCAAAATGGGAGAGGCCATGCTGCACCGCTTGCCTCCAGGCTGAATGCTCAGATGTCATGGTTTCCTATTTGTTGAGGTCCATTCCTAAGGCCTTCAGATCCCGCTTGCAGATATCCTTGTATTGCAGCTGTAGTCTCGCTCTGGGGCGCTTTCCCTGCACTAATTCTCCATATAGGAGATCTTTTGGAATCCAACCGTCAGCCATTCCCACGACATGCCCAAGCCAACGTAGACGTTGCTGTTCCAGTAATGTATACGTGCTAAAAATTCCAGCTCATTCTAGGACTACTCTATTTGGAACTTTGTCCTGCCAGATGATGCCAAAAATGCATTGGAGTCAACACATGTGGAACATGTTCAACTTCCTCTCCTGCCATGCACAAAGGGTCCAGGACTCACTGCAGTACAGGAGGGTATTCAGGACACAGGCTGTAGAGACCTGGATCTTGGTATATGCCATCAGGTTATATTCCTGTAACTTGGAATCCAGTAGAATTCTGTCTTGTGCGATATGTGAAACTGACTTGTGTGAAAGTCAGAAAAACACACCAGGCACCTGCAGGCAGCTGGAGACCTATTTAGAACCCTATGATGGTTGATTGTTCTATATGATGTGGGACACATGCCAAGTCTATCATACATAGAACTGTCTTGCATTATAAATGGAAATTAGAGGGTAACTACATTAAATAGACTGGTTTCTTGTTTTATCTCCCTCTGTAGGTGGAAGAAGCTTTAGAAGCTGTGAAGAATGCCACAAATGAACAAGACCTTGCAAATCGCTTCAAAGAATTTGGAAAAGAGATGGTCAAACTTAACTATGTAGCTGCTAGAAGGCAACAGGTAGGTATTATAAAATTAGTAAATAAAAACAAAGCTACAATTTCTAACTTAACATGCAAAGTAATATTTGGTTTTGATCAATTTCAGAGACTTGCTTGACCAAAAAGTGACATGTATAGTGATGACCAAACTCTGCCCATATGGGGTTGAAATTAGATTTAGTAATCTGAGGCATTTCCTAAGGAGGTTGGAGGACACACCTTTTTTTTGCCTCTGTTTGTGTTTTAGGTGAAATGAAGAAAAAATAAAAAAGTTTTCTGCTTATGTAGCGCCCTATAGTGCTTAAAGCACACTCTGGGCAGTTTACAGGTTAATTATGCAGGCTACACATTGCCTCCCCAGCAAGCTGGGTACTCATTTTACTGACCTCGGAAGGATGGAAAGGCTGAGTCACTCTTGAACCAGCTACTTGGGATTGAACCTTGGGTCGTTAGCAGTTTTGACTACAATACCGCAGTTTAATCACTGCAACACGAGGCTCAATACAATTTCTCAATTCAGAAATGCAGTTTGCATTCCCAGTGTTTTTGACTGTGTGGACTACCGGGTGTTTTTCCCCCCCTTCTAATATGAATAGAAGACTCCTATTATATAGTACACAACTTTTACATCTTCTGGATGCTAAAAAGAGTTAGACAAGCAAGAGAGAAAGCCAGATTCCTTCAGAAAGATCTTGTTATTTAAGTAGTCCCTCTTGCTTTGTAGCCAATTTGGGAAAAGAGAATGGTAAGGCAGCCTCTTTGGTTCTATCTACAATGTGAGCTGAGGAAGAACACCTGGCCATTATGTCTGCCTTGTGTCAAAGAAGCAGAGGAAGAAGAAGACTGTGAACCGCTGGAGTACACATTCTGAAAACTGAAAATGGCAAATACTTTATTGTGTCTACAGTACATTCCATCTTGTATGCCAGGGGTGGGGAATGTGTGGCTCCGCAAATGTTGTTGGACTGCAAACCCAGTCATCCCCTTGCCACTAATGGTAGCAGCAGTTCAGAAGGGTCCAGGGAGGCATAAGTTGTTCAGCCTTGGCGTCAACCTTAAACAAGTAAATTGATCTGGGCTGAACATCACCATCATGCCAAGTGCTAAAGGAGGATTATATTGTGCATCCCATGTGGCTTTTCGGTAAAAGCAAAACTGTAGAAAGGGTTTTTTTTTTCTGTCCTGGGTTTCAGGTGACGTTCAGCTGAAAGTTTACACTAGAAGCGGGATTTTATCTGTTTATGCAGACGGAAAGTTATTATTTGGAGGCAGGGGAGGTGAACGATGCCAACTTTTAAAAACTGTTATTTGTAAAGCAGTGAAACAGTTTAACTGCTTTCAAACTACCAGGTGTAAATGCAGTGCTTGGATGGGAACAGAGGAAGAATATTCAGCTGGAAATTGAATATAAAAACACCCATTTTCTCCCCAAGTCTTAAGGCATGGATAGGCTGTGTTCCTACCCAAAATGTGTTGGGTATTGATGCTATACGGAACGTGTGATAATGCTTCTGAACATTTTTCTTTTTAATGAGGAATAAAGATCCCTTATTAAAGCATAGACATCACCTAGCCGACAAAGGTCTGCATAGTCAAAGCTATGGTTGTCCCTGTTGTGATGTATGGAAGTGATGGTTGGACCATAAAGAAGGCTGACCGGTGAAGAATTGGTGCTTTTGAGTTGTGGTGCTGGAGGAGGCTCTTGAGAGTCCCCTGGACTGCAAGGAGAACAAGCCTATCCATTCTGAAGGAAATGAACCCTGAGTGCTCACTGGAAGGACAGATCCTGAAACTGAGGCTTCAGTACTTTGGCCATCTCATGAGAAGAGAAGACTCCCTGGAAAAGACCCTAATGTTGGGAAAGTGTGAAGGCAGGAGGAGAAGGGGACGACAGAGGACGAGATGGTTGGACAGGGTCATCGAAGCGACCAACATGAATTTGTCCCAACTCTGGGAGGCCGTGGAAGACAGGAGGACCTGATGTGCTCTGGTCCATGGGGTCACGAAGAGTCAGACACGACCTAACGACTGAACAACAACAACAACAAAGGATCCCTTGTGTGCAAAACAACGTATCTTCAGTTCATTGAGACGGTTAAAAGTCATAGTAAAATATTGTTTGTGGTGTTTCTCTTGGTCCTTGGGGAATCAAAAGAGGTGTGATATTTTCTCCAACAAGGTTTTGAACTGTTGATTTCAAAAGAACATCCATTTAATTTATGATCCATATTTCAGTGTCCTTGTAATTTACCATTTTCATTCCAGCAATCTTATGATCAGCAAATCTTTGTCCAAACTTTCACTCTAATTGATCACTTTAAAAGCCTGTACATGAAAACATTTGGGCTGTGTAGAATGGGGATTGTATAGAGGCAGTATTTGAGGCCTGTCGTCTGTGGTGGCTTGTCCAGGCCACTTCCTCCTGCATCATTTTGTGACCAAGACTTCTCTTTTTTGAGTAGCTGTGATCAACATCCCGTATGTGGATGTGTAGGGTCACTCAGTCCATGCCTTTGTTCTTTCTTCTGGATTGCGAACCTGAGAATAGCCAACCACCACTCCTCTCTGGTACTGAATCCCTTCTCTTCCCTCTTGAAATACCATGAACACATTTTTTTACCCTGATCTGCAGCAGTTCATATTCAGCTGTGCAATTTGCCAAGTGATCTGAGGTGAATCATTGTTTCCCAGTGTAATCTACCTAGTGGAATAGTTATGAGGTTAAAATGAGGTGATTTTGTCCTGGGTGCAATGGAGAAAGAGGAGAACAGTAATCTAATTAGGTGAAGCCCAGTGAGATGAAAGCAGGCTTTTGCTCACATAGTGGAATTTTCTTTCCTTGGCCTCTCACTGCAGCCGTTCACATGCCCCCCACCCCACCCCTACACCCACTCAGTAGTGCCAGATCATCCAACAGACTGCAGGGGCACAAGTGGGCTATGTGTGTTAGATATTTTTCTGCTAATGGTGGATGTTCTGCCAATTGGAAGAAAATGGTTGGGCATAGCCCATAGGGAAAAGAATGGATGAACATGTAGACAAACCGATTCTGTAGATGCGCCATGTTGATTTTGCTGTCTCTTTGTGTACGACAGGAACTAAAGGACCCCCACTGCAGGGATGAAATGGCCGCTGCCCGGGGCGCCCTGAAGAAGAATGCCACAATGCTCTACACAGCTTCTCAAGCTTTTCTTCGCCATCCTGATGTAGCTGCAACCAGGGCCAATAGGGATTATGTCTTCAAGCAAGTTCAGGAGGCCATTGCTGGCATCTCCAATGCTGCTCAAGCCACCTCGCCCACCGATGAGAACAAAGGCCACACTGGCATTGGCGAACTTGCTGCAGCTCTGAATGAGTTCGATGTAAGTGGGGCTAGTTTGATGTGTCTGGGCCTTCTCTGAAGCACATGCAAAGAGAAAGAGGGGATGCTGCGGAATTCCACTTCTTGTCAGCCCAGATCTAAGGTCTTCAAAAACGGTGTTTTGCGATGTTTGTAGGCTCCAACATAGTTTCATTTGTGTTATGCAGCATAATTTCTATTCCTTTTCCAGCTGGCAAAGATCTAGGCTAAAATAGGGATGAATACAGTAAAGCTACAATGTGATATGAAGCTACAATATGATTAAAAAAAGTTTTTTATCTTGAGGTTGGACTTGGTGACCCTTGGAATCTCTTTCACCTCTGCGATTCTATGCTTCCAGGTTGATAGACAAGCAGGCCCAGGGGGATTCCTGGGTTTGTTCTTGGCCATGCTTGTAGTTGCCACAACAATACATTTCCTTTATTGAGTCAATCCATCTCATGCGTGGTCTTCCTCTTTTCCTGTTGCCCCTATCCTTATTTTTTCCTCTCCCAACTCCTGCTGCTCAAGTATAAATTCTGAGCAGCTGAGGCACTGCTCAGATGCCCTGCAGTAAAGGAGGAGTGAGCCTAATTGGTGTCAAGCATGTACAAAGTCTTAACAGAGAAGTTATCAGCCTCCGGTGCAGTTTAAGCTGCCTATACAGGTTGTGCAAATTCTTAAATGGTGGGAGGAATCTCCTTAGGGTGACTAAAAGGAAAAAAAAGGGGGCAAGGTTCCTGCACCTTTAGTAGTTTTGTGGAGAAGGAAATTCCCACAGGTGTTTTTTGTATCAAAAGCCACAGATGCTAAAATGTCTTCTAAGCTCCATGTCCTCTTTTTGCATCTGGTCACTCTAACCTTCATAAAGACATGCTAATTTAGTTGATCACATTATGGAACTGGCAGAGAACTCCCTCCACTCCCCACAATTTCTCCTCATTTTGAGCTCACGAGAATCACCTGATGCTGGGCCATTTTCAAGCTGATGCCGGGCATTGCTGTCGAGAAAGGGCAGTTGTGAACTCTAGGGGCAATGTTGCATTGTCTGGTTATAAACACAGATACGGTCAGAGGGAAGGTAGTAGGCACAGTTTCCAGTACATACTCTTCATAGCTGTATGATGTGTACCTTCTTTTAACTGCAGGTAACCTGTTTTTCACATGATGGAGTGGGTTGGGGAAAAGCTGCTTTGTGTTTTGCAGTAACATCTGTAAATGTATGAGCAATCTAGTTTCGAGGAGGCAATGGAGTGTTTGGAAAAGTGAAAGGACAAAATGGTTATGAGTTAGCTGATATGAAATAATGAGGATACTTCCAATTGAACAAGCAGGCTTTATGATTAGCGTCTTGCTTCTTTTTCTACTGTTTTTCTTTCAACGTGTGAGTAGGCTACTGTAGATATTCCTGAGATTGGTGTATGGCGGTGACCTTCAAAATAAAGCTTGCATTTCATTTTGTCAGGTTTAAGCATTGCCTAGTTTTATATGTTCCCAAATTTTCCTGACATCATTTGAGATAATCTAAAGCTGCTTTAAGACTAACTAGTCCTGTTGAAATGAGTGTAACTTAACAGTCAACGCTGTAAATTTGTATGATTTCAGTCATTCTGCTCTACTTGGGATGAAAAATCGGTTTATCCCTATTTGTGCTATCAAATCATCTCCGAATGGATAGCATAATGGTAGGATTGTATTTCAGGAATTTCAGGGAAGGAAAGAATCTTCTGAAACAGAGTACCAAGAGCAAAATGAACTCCAAACTAGATTTAACTCAAGAATCACTTTTTGACAGGTGAAGCATTTGGAAGAAACAAGTTGCTTTTAGTAAGTATTTAAAGAACTGAATCTGCAGTTGTACTTCTTGAAACAAACAACAAAATCTTCTTGCAAAATTACACTGGAGTGGCCATTGTTGACATTAATATCTGTGTGCAGAGTTGTGCCACTCAGTAGTTACTGGATAATGTCTATTGTGATTTCATTAACTTGAGACAATTAGCCTCCAAATTTTATGCTGTTAATGTAATGCTGGCAGAACTATGCAATAGGATTTTTGCCAGAGACTTTAGGATAGAGTTCAGTGTAGGATTGTTTATACCTGAGAAGTCCATGAATTCCCAACTCTCAATAATTCTGCAGAGTAATAGTTCTACATTACAGTATAACACCGAAATATAATGTATATGTCTAGAATAACCATTCATGTGAGTATCATGAATCCACAAATCTATTTTCTGGAATGTGCTATTTCCTAGTTTTTAAACTGCTCTTGTTAGCTTCAGTTCTAAAAGTGCACATTCAGATATGCCTTTTGCTTGACTGCATTATTAGAGGAAAATGTTGAATGCTGGAAGATGCTTCTGGAGATTTGGGCCCAGAATCCTCTTGTGATCTTGCAAAAGTCAGATGGAGTTTTGCTGTCTGTCATACAAGCGAAAGACTGCCATGCTGCAGTGAATAGACCTTGTACTTGCATAGCAGAGTACAGTGGACCCTTGACTTACAGACGGCTTGACCTACAGACTTTTTGACCTGAGAACCGCCTTCCAATACGGATTAAGTTCTCAAGTCAAGACCCCACTGTATTGACTAACACTTGGTACAAGTTTGGGAACAAACAGGTTTCTGCCCTTGACTGCTTATGTACCAGACAAGAGAATAGTTTTCTGTGATTTATAGCAAGACTTTTTTTATACTTTGAATAGGCCCACAGAAATAAATGGCACTGAAGTTAATCATTGTTAATGTACACCCCATTCTACCTTTGATTTAGGTAAGAGCTGATGTAATATACACAGTTGATTCAGAAATGTTTTTAGTTACATACAGAAGAATATATATTTTTTTAAAATTTTTATCTTCTTGGGGGAGGCTCCGTGTCTCTCATGTCTCTCATGTCTGAACTGATAAAGTCATTAAGCAAATCTTTTCCATTTGTGAGCCAAGGTTTTGTGTGTTCGCTTTAAGATGCCTACAGAGTAAATGGCAGTGCATTAAGTTCAAGCATTTATCTATCATTCCTTTATGAAATTTGACTAATATATGTAAATATATGGGAAATATCTCTTTAATGATTTTACCACTTCACACTAACACTGAGAAATATATTTCTTGTGTCTGTCTTTGTAATGCTGGAACAAACTCTGTTTAGCTTGATTTGGAACATGCTTAGTAATTACAAGCTTCCTCAGTGAATGTTGAAGGAAAATCTCATTTCCTTTCTGAATGTTCTCTTTTAGTTCACAGTGTTAGTGCATGTTCATTGTATTTTATTTCATTCCCCCATGGAATTATAGTTGCTTGGACCATCTTTAATTTGTGCAGAGACACTTGGAAATTTAACACCACCAACACCACCAGGCGGTTTGTGGTCTGTTAAAACTGGCAATATATGGGCAGTGTCTTGTTTTACATTATCAACTGATGGAGACCTTATCCCATAATATATCCACATCTTATGATCTAGACAAGCCACTGATGGTCCCAGCTAGGGCAGACTGATTGAAATGTATAGGACTTGTTAATCACCCATAATGCAAGCTCTATTTGTTGTGTGGGTCTCCTTTATTTTGGGGGTACTAGTGGATTTAATTTATTTTGCATTTTGAACTACAGAAAAGATAAAACATTGGCAACATCACCCCTTTCCATGCTCAAGTCAGCTTATTTCTTATATCTGTGCTGTTAAGTATGCAACATTGAGGCTGCTGCTGTTGTGGTGGCCTTTTAAACACACTATAACTACTTCCAAAGTGCTCTGTCACATTATATATTGTCAGTAGACCATTCAATGGAAATTCTGGACTGCTTGAAAAAAAAATCTGATCCCTTGCTTTGCTTAGAAGCCCTTATACTACGAAACACTTCTGAGAAAATGGTTTTGCTGCCACATAAGATTTCCTTCTTGCCTCCAGTACTGATTTCTAACACATGGCACCCCCCTGCCCTATTCTGAAATTATGATTTAAAACAAGGTGTACTTAGGTGTAACTCTGCACCTTTGTATTCAGCATTCATCCCACTATGCATCTGAGGCTGGTAGGCGTTTTTGGAAGATGCCCAGAAGTTGATCCCTTATTTGGTCTCAGTGAAGGTATCTTGATTGCAGTAACTGAGCTGTTTTTGAAATTGGATGGTAATTACAGAAGATCGCTGATTACCAGTCATTCTAGAACTGGGCGAATGAAGTGTGGGCATGGCCCATTTGTCATCCAGTTGGGAACTTTCTATAATGTTAAGCTTTTCTTTCCTCCCGTTTTCATAAATGAAATCCCAGGTGTATTATGAGAACATGTATGGGCAATCACAAAATCATAACATCAATATTTAGAACTCACAAAATAACGTAAGTGGATCACTTTTGATGTGGGACTTGTAATGACTGCCTGTTGAAACCTGAGCTGGCAAGAGCTTGTATATCACTCTTCCTGGAATCCCGCAAAAACTTCCCTTGGTTTCTTTCTCATATTGTGAAACTTATTGTCACTATTTATTTAAGCCTTTTTATGTCATAAGAACATAAGAGACATTGTGGTGGATAAGTTCAATTCCCCGCTGTGCCTCCTGGACGAACAGCCAGCCTGTGTGGCCTTGGGCAAGCTGCACAGTTTCAGAAGGGCCACCAGAAGAAGGGAAATCACTTCTGAGTATTGTCTGTCTAGAAAAATCCAGAAGGAGTCACCATGATGGCATGCAGTTTTTGTTTTTGTTGCTGTTGTTGTTGTTGTTCCTGTAAGTTCATAATGGCTTATTCATGCTGTCATAACAGGAACGTAAGCCATATGGAGTTGATCTGTCACTTTAAAGATTCTTACATGTGGTTACATTTACATGTTTCTCTTCAGCCTTAAGGGACGTGGTGGCGCTGCGGGCTAAACCACAGAAATCTTTGTGTGCTGCAGGATCAAAAGACCAGCAGTCGTAAGATCAAATCCATGCGACGGAGTGAGCTCCCGTCGCTTGTCCCAGCTCCTGCCAAGCTAGCAGTTCGAAAGCATGTAAATGTGAGTAGATAAATAG